AGGTGCTAATCATCATTACTAATGATGGCAATGACAATTAGCCTGCAGGCTTCCTACCTGTAGCCTTAAAAGGACAGGACAGGCCAATATAACCCTCCACTGTCTAACCATCCCAACCCCCAATTTTTTTAACCAGAATTTCCTCTCTTGATTAAATAAAAAGCTGAGCCAGAAAGGAGGGCAAAGGCATTTCCAGACCACTGGGGTGCATCCCAGGCTGGGCTGGCTACTCAGGCATCTTCAGAGCCACTCCCGACCAGAGCTTACCATGAGGAATGTGCTTTGGGGTGGAATGGTCCAAATAGTCCCAGAACGCAAATCTCGCTGCTGCTATTGCTGACCAGTGGGCATTATGCTGCCCCGCAGCTCTCTGCACTGAGTGTCCAGCTCTGGGCAGAAGTAACTGCCTGGTGGAGGAGGGTGAGGGACGTGAGCAAACAGACACCCCCATGGGGAAAACACTTACTGTAATCTTTTGGGGCAAGGCAGAGGACTCCACTTCCAGACAGATAAAAGAGGACACAACAATCTAAAAATAGGAACCAGGAGCTGCTGTGGAAAGCAGTATGGAGGTTTCTCAATAAAAGTAAAAATATAAATATCTTATGACCCAGCAATTCCATTTCTGGGAATTTACCCAAAGAAAATAAAATCACTGATTCAAAAAAATATGTGCATCCCTATGTTTATCACTACATTATTTACAATAGTCAAGATGTGAAAGTAACCAAGCGTCCATAAATAGATGAATGGATAAAGAAGATATGATACAGAATATTATTTGGCCATAAAAATGAAAGAAATCTTGCCATTTACAACAACATTCTTGGACATAGAGAGTATTATGCTAAGGGAAATAAGCCAGGCAGAGAAAAACAAATACCGTACGATTTCACCTATATGTAGAATCTAAAACAAAACAAACGAACAAGCCAGAAATAGACTCACAGACACAGAGACGATACTGGTGGTTACCATGAGAGAGGAATTAGGAAGAGTAGGTGAAATAGGTGAAAGGGTCACAAAATCTCAATTGTAATATAAGTTAGTCACAGGGATGAAAGTACAGCTTAGATAATATAGTCAATAATATTATAATATTCTATGTTGACAAATAGTAGCTACACTAGTTGAGGTAAGCATTTAATAATGTAGATAACTGTCAAGTCACTATGTTGTACACTTGAAACCAATGTAAAATTGTATGTCAACTATACTTCAATTGGAAAAATATATTTAAATTTTTTTTTTTTATTAAAAGGAGAACTGGGAGAAGCAAAGAGGAGGCGAGAAAGGGGACTCAATCATCAAACTAGAAAGAGAACAACAGTGCAGTCCACCCAGTTCCAAGACCCATGCCTGTGTTTTGATTATGAAGGGAACAACCCAAAGGAACACAGGGTCCTCTTGGCCCCATCACATATGGGGTCATTTCTGTCCACGTAATGTCCACTCTGCTGCCAGACTTGGGCACGTCCCAAGCCAAGGCAGGCTCCAAGACAAAAGAAACTGTCCCACTTCCACAAAGATTTGAAAGTTCTCATTTTACAATGTGTTCTCAATCTCCTCCCCAATCTTCCATCCCCATGGTAACCAAATCCCCTGACACATCAGGTGAGAGAGGATGCTTCTGTCTCATCCAGGGTCCTTGCCCATTGATGATTCAAGATTTATGCTGCCATCAACTGCTCTACACTGTATTTGGAAGATCCCAATGCACCTGAATCTATATATAAATGGAGTTAACTTTTACATTCCTAGGGTTCCAGAAAGAGCAATAGTGTTCTAAAGCAATCCATTGAGATAAGTATCTGCTCACTCCCAATCCATGGCCCTGAGGAACTTTGGCAAAGGACGAAGAGAGACGTTGAAAGGGAACCTGAATATGTTTCTGTCTCTCTGATTTCACTTATAAGTCAGGTGTCGTGTTAGATCACCTTCTGATTAATATTAAGTTTAACATTAATAAGTTTCTAATACACTTATTAATGTTTCTCAACAATAATGAGCAGGAATTTAATAACGCCTGATGCTGCCTTGCAAACGTGGGAACCCCTAACTCCTGACCTGAAAACCCTGGGTTGGTTTGGAGAAGCTGGGCTGGGGCAAGCCACTGGGTGGGGCAAGCCACTCGACTTGGTGCCATCTACTCAAAGCATATTCTCCCATTGCCTTTCAAGTACCACAAGCCAACGCAGAGCAGGTGTCCAAAACCTGGATAAAGATGGGGATGATAAAATTGTGATTCGACATCCTCATTTGTAAAAGGAAAATCGATAACATGACCTTGCAGAGTTTCTGGAGCACGAGTAACAATGTATACAGCTGGCAGATCTGAGCGTGCACACCCATTAGCTGCCACCACTAGTATATTATCACATGGTCAGTCAGTGCCCGCTCACCGCACAGCCACATGGCAGGACTTCCCGGAGAGAAGGCGGCCGGCCTTCCACTCCGTGGGGCCCCTTAACATCATTATCTCCGTGTCTTGCATTTCCTCCTGGAAGGAAGGGAGAGTGAGAAGGAGAGAAAGGAAGAGGGGAAAGGAAATAACTCCTACTAAGTAACCTCCTCCCTCACCACTTTCTCTCTTATACTGCTCCTGGCAACCCTGCAGACTATGTTTTTTGTTTTATTTTTCCCACTTACGATGAAAAACCCAAGTAAACCTGCAGCCTAGAAAGTTTAAGTACCTTGTCCAAGGTCACAGAGTTTTCGTGATCTGAACAAAGCTGGAAACCCCACAGAGCTCGGAACAGGGACCTATCTTTCCTACCTCCAGAGCCGTGGGTGCTTAGTGAGAAAAAAGGACGAGGCCTTGAGGAACCCTCCAAGAACATTTTAAATCACCCTCTTTGTGTCTGCTTTTCCCTTCCCCCTTCAGATGGCCCTGAGACCCCACGTAACTGATGCCTGCAATTCCAGGTTCTGCCTTCATCCATCTATTGTGGGAAAGTTCTTTTTCAGTAGTAAATTAATGTCTGTCTGTGAACAGTTACTCAGGTCTTTTTATAAAATCCAAGTCATAATGCTATGTACATAAAATGCTATTTTATGCTATTTAAAGCCATTTGTTCCCTATTTGTGAGCTAAGAGAAGATTCTCATACATGTACACATCCTAAGTAAAAGCATCAAAACAATTCTTCTGCTAAAGGGTTGAATTGTATCACCCCAAAACAAGAGATATTGAAATTCCAATCAATATAAATCAGTCACGAGCATTAAAATACAACAGAGAATATAGTCAATAGTACTATAATATTTTCCTATTTTGACAAATAGTATCTACACTAGTGGGGGTGAGCATTTAAAAATGTAGATAACTGTCCAATCCCTATGATGTATACTTAAAACCAATATAGTATTACATATTATAAAAACATTTTTTAAAAATTCAATTAAAAAATTTAAAAACTTACAAAAGAAAGAAAGAAAGAAAGAAATCCTCACCCATAGTCATTACCTGAGAATGCAACCTTATTTGGAAAAACTTAGTTGAAAGTTAAGATGAAGTCATATAAGAAGAGGGTGGGCACTAAATCCAACATGACTGGTGTCCTTACAAAAAGAGCAAGACCCAGAGGCAGAGGCAGCCCTGTGATGGCTGAGATAGAGATTGGAGTAATGCATTCCTAAGCAAAACAAGGCCAAGGATCGCCAGGAACTCCAGGAGTTAGAAGAAGCAAGGGAGGATTCTTCCCTAGAACCTTAGGATGGAGCGTGGCCCTGCTGACACCTTGATTTGGAACTCCAGAACTATGAGAGAGAATGCATTTCTGTGGTTTTAAGCCCCCCTGTTTGTGGTGCTTTGTTACAGCAACTCTAAGAAACTAATACTCCCTATACCAGTCAGTAACCTGTCCATATAGCAGCTTAAGCCAAGGCCACTGGCCGTTGTACTTCCAGAAACTTCCAGCCCCATCTCTGGCTGTCCACCCATCCTCCACACAGATCTGAGGTTTGCTGAAACTATCAGGGCTCTATATGTCTGCTTCCCCCTTTTCCCTTCAGGTGGCCCTGAGCCAAGGGGTACCCCCAAATAATCTCCCAGGCCCAGCATTGTACCCAAATCCACACCAGAATCACACAGTTGGGAGCATTGTTTTCTCGAACTGTGGTACCCTTGGATGAGAATTACTGCAGACAATTGTGTAAAATGCCCCAGACCAATTGACCCAATACCTGGGGCCCAGGAATCTAAATTTTTAGCAGACACCCGTGGGCCTCTTATGTACAAAAAAGTTTGAGAAAGGATGGGCTCAGATATGTCTTTGGAAGGTGCTCGTCTCCCTCCACAAAAATGTGCTGTGGCCCTGAGAACACTTCTGTCAGCCAGGCGGGGAGAAGAGAAATGCTAACACGGCCTGCGGAAAATGTGGAGAAAACAGACCAGGAACAGACACTGTGGAGTTGGGAGGGAGCAAAAGGCAAGGGCAGTGGGGACATGGAAACTATTTCTGAGGGTGGATGGGGGACCTCAGGCCACGCGATGTGAGGATTAGGAAGAGGGCAGAGAGAACCGGCTCAGGCAGAGGACACATCGGGTACGTGGAGCAGAGGACCTGCCTGCAGGAGGAGCAGCTACTGGGGGTGACTGCCAGGGAAGCCCCAGGGAGAGGGGCAAGCAGAACCTTGGCTTACATCACAGCTTCTGTTTCCTGGCTCTGTGCTCTCCCTCACTTCCTTAACCTTTGTTTCTTCTATAAAATTTGACTAACAATAGCTCTTACTTCACAGGGCGGTTGTGAGAATTACAGGGATTACTGCTGATGAAGTATTTGGGGTTTGATGCACAGGAGTATTTGTTAAACTATGCTGTGGAGCAGAGGAGCTAGGGCAGAGGGGCCAATTGTCAAGGATGCCATTGGCGGGGGTGCGGGGTGGGGGGCGTGGACCGGGACTCTCAGGGGCAGAAGCAAGACTCCGCATTTGCACCTCCCCTGAGCATTTCTCCACCTCCTCATCTCCTCAGAGCTCCTCCAGGTTAGCAGTCACTGCTCTGCCCCTCTAGAGGGAGCCACTTCCTCCCCGTGCCTCCCTCCCGCTCCCTCCCACCCCTCCCCACCTCTCTCTCTCCCTCTTTCCGGGCAAGAACTACAGTTCCGTGTGTATCAACAGGGGCAAATCTCCGAAGCGTAATATTGAACAACAGAAACGTGAGTTATAGCAGGCTAATGTATACATGCTATATGTTATGTAATTTTATAGGATATATATATGTAAACTTTAACATACACAATAATAGAATTATTGTAATTATTTATAATTACAACATAAATAATATTTGTATTAATAACATAAAACATGACTAGAAATAATAACCCAATTTGGAGGGAGGGAAGAAAAGGAAAAAATTGGGGAAGGTACATGGGGGGATCCAGTTGTGTCTACAGTAATACTTTTCTTTTTTTGAAAACTGGGCAAAATATTATAATTTCATAAATCGGGTAGCAGATACGTGGGTGCTCATTATATTACTTGGTGTTCTGCTTGCTGGAAACGGACACAAATTTTCAGTGTCTCTAATAGTTCATGAATTTCATTCTGGGAGCCTTGGGCTCAATATCTTAAATCTCCCCTTAACTAACTAACTTTGCTCACTTGGCCCTGAACACTTCCAACCTACTCTAAAGCCCTGCCCTCCCAGTTCTCCAAAAGGCACACTTAGTCCTCACCTGGAATTTTGGGTGGTGCACTCCTGTTAAATCCAGTGTTCGCTCAAGTTTGTTTTTAGAATCATCCAACACGCAGCTGACCCCCAAGAACACTTGACTTATTTCTGCTTAATCACTGGAGAGGCCTCAAGCACTGCTCAGGGACTAAGGGGAACATTGTCTTCCTGGCCAAGTGACTCTGGGAGTCCCAGGTACCAGGAAGCCCGAGGACACACGTGCAGGAGCAAAGGCATCTCCAGGGATTGGCATATCCAGAGGCCTGGCTTCCCCTCTAAGCCCTCAGCTTATAAGGTTTCTGGGGGTTGCTGCCTGCCTTTGGCAAGAATTTCGCTGTGGGGGCAGAGGGCAATGCCCCTCCAAGTTATTTCCTGAAATCCACACTTAAAAGGCATTTAAGTAAGAACTTGTTCGTTATGCTTCAGAAGATTGGAGACTGACGAGAACTAGGCTTGAGATGGATTAATGATTGTGCATTGAGCATTGACCCCCCTTATACAGAATTTTATTGTTGTTAACAACCATTTGATCAATAAATATGAGAGATGCCCTCTAAAAAAAAAGGCATTTAAGGAAATATCTAATGAGTTTGGCCCTGGGTTCTGACAAGAAGAGCCGAAATCATCTTTCATTTCCTACATCAGAAGCCCCCCCATCCCACATATACATTCACCTTTGCCTCCTTCAATCCCTTCTAAAAATAAAATGAGAACTTCAGTAACTCCAGGTGGCATTCAGCCAAAGGTTCAGGGGAGGCCTCTCTAGGGAGGTGACTGCTGAGCAGAACAGACATGTGAACACAAGTTGAGAACCAGGCATGGAGACACATGGGCGAGAAGCAGCCCAAGAAGAGGGGCCCAAAAGGAGGTGGTGGGAAATGCAGGGAGTGGGACAGCCCGGGACAGACCTCATCACAGTGCTGAGAACAATACAGCAGCCATTATACAGACAAAGAAACAGAGGGTCCAGGAGGTTACAGGGTCTGCCAAGACCATGCAGCCGGTATATGCTAGCTGAAAGCAGGCCATCTCACTCCCAGAGGCATTACTCCCTCCCTTCCCCTGTCAGAGGATGCACAGATCCACATCCATTACCCACAACCCTGGGCCAGCTGTGGGTCAAAATCCAGAAGGCTCCAACTTTAGAAAGTTTGTGCTGTGCAGGTGACTCCCTGGGGGATCTGGGACAGGGCTCAACAAAACTCGTTAACATATCTTAAACATTTTGCATGATGTTCTGAACCCAAGTCTACCCTCACCAGTGAGCACAAGGACTTTTGTTATTTTGTTCACTGATGTGTCCAAAACCCCCAGCACATAGTGGGTGCTCAAAAACATTGGTAGAAAGAAAGAATGAATGGCGTGCGACTAAACATTTTAATATTTCTGCAGCAAAAAGTAATCCTCACGCTCAATGGGCTAAATAAAGAACTATTAATAGTCTGTTTGAGGTTAAGGTTTTGCCATCAAATTCAGGTCACTTTTGATGCCAAATTAGCTACCAAAATAAACAACAAACAACTTTCAGTTTTCAGAGACTTTAGGATTTCCACTAAAAACACTGGAGGCACCGTGTTTTAACTTCTGAAAGTGACAGCTCTGTGAAGACAGATGGTAGAGAAGCCAGCTAAAAACAAGGTCACCTAGATTCACGTGCTGGCGTGGCCCTGACTGCAGGAAGAGCAGCCGAGGGGCCAAGCACTTGGGGCACAAACTTCCTCCTCGGCAAAGGAGCCAACAGCAGCCGGAGAGCTGCTGGCGACATGCAGGCAAAAGGTGAAGCCAAGTCCAAATCCAAGAACCAGTTAGGAGAGGTGGACGGGAAGGCCGAGCTTTACAAAATAAGTCTCCAAGGTGAAAGTTTCAAGTCTGCTCTTATTGTGCCTTTGCTAGAATGGGTTGAGTTTGAAAACATGGCCAGAGGCAAAGAAGTTAAAATGGGAGAGACAGAAAAGCACCTTTCTTTAAATTAATAAAATCACCCTCGTGCCTGGATCTCGGTCCTCCAGCCCCCGTCCCTACTGAGAAAGGCAGATCAGTTGCCAGCCCCTTCCCTGGGTCCCCCCCCTCTGCTCTGCCTTAGCCCCTTTCCTCCTGTGCTCAGCCCCTTGGAAGGACCAGGACTGGGATAAAGCAGAGGGCACTGGGCAGGGGAATTAGGCTTGGAGAAAAGGCAACGGCCATCACCCCCACCCAAGGTCAGGCTGTAACTTATAGTCAGTGGTCTCCACTTCTGCCCTGATTAGCTTTAAGATTCACTGAGATAAATGGCAGCAGAGGTAAGAAGGAAATGATACAACCCCAGGTTTCCTTTGGCAAGTTGAGGAAATAACCATTCATTCATTCTTTCTTTCTACCACTGTTTTTTGAGTGCCCACTATGTGCGGGGGGTTTGGGACACATCAGTGAACAAAATAACAAAAGTCCTTGTGCTCACTGGCGTGGGGAATTGGACTTGAGTTAAAAATACCATTGTGTGCAAAGTGATGGGCGCCTTGTGGGGAAATAGCACAGTGAAGGAGATCAGAGTGCCTGGGGAAGGACTTGTGGTCTTGAATAGGGTGCCAAAGAGAGCAGAGTTGAAGGAGAAATAAGGAGCCATTCTGATAGCAGGAGAGCATTCCAGGCAGAGGGCACAGTCAGGGCAAAGGTCTAGAGGGGGGAATGTACCTGGCAAGTTCTAAATGCAGCAAGGAAGCTTGAAAAGCTGGAGCCAAATAAAGGGAAGTAAGAAGAGTTAAGTATGTGTGTGTGTGTCTGTTGAGGGTAGGGGACAGAATCACTCTGAGGCTGGCTACTTAGTGCTTTATCTTTTATTCTGGGTGAGAAAAGGAGCCAGTTTGAGGGTTTTGAGAACAGCAGGACCACTGTGTCAGTTAGAAGAGTCACTTTGGCATCTCCAGGACCTAAGAATTATCAGAGTTGAAAAACCAAGTTGAGAGTGAAGAGGTCCACTATGACCCCAGGATTTTAGGACCATGAATATAGTTTGGAGAAGAGCTGGGAGGGAGCCTGAGAGGCTATTGAGGCTGGCTGGTAGTTTTGGCCTGCAGCAGCCAGATGGTGGCACTGTGGATGGGGAATAGGGCTCGAACCCCAGGAAGTGTTTCAAAAGTATAATCTAGACTGGATACAGCAGATCAGTAAAAGAAAAGCAGCAAAGACAAGATGGTCTGGGAAGAGGGACTATGGGGCATATTCATAAAATGACAAAAATTAATAAATCTTAACCCTTTAGATGACTCACCCTCCAACCTTGTGCCAGGCGTGAACTCCACCTCTTACGCAAGCCCAGGGATGAAGAGTGCCTGCGTTCACTCTATTAGCCTTTGAATCCTGGCTATTTTACAAGTGAAACTGTGGATTTTGTTAGCTGTGCTCTATTTTCTTTTATATTTTTAATCACATAACATCTATAATATATAATGTGCCATTTGGGCCATTTTCAAGCATACAATTCAGTGGCATTAATTACATTCACAAATTTGTGTGTGTTGTGTGCTTATCTTTTAACGTCAGTAAGCCTCAGTTCCCTCATCTCTTACATGGGGAGAATAATAAAACCTATCTTTAAGGGTCACTGCAAGGACTAAACAGGATAATCCAAGTGAAACAGCACAATGCCTGGCATGTAAGTGACACTCCACAAGTATTAGCTCTTTTATGCCTTATTTCCTGTCTCCTCCTCTACATCATCCCCAGTCACACGGGGCCCCATGGCCACCTCGTCACTTCTTGGTGATTAACAGGACTTCCCCTCCCCATCCGCAGTGCCCCCCACACCCATCTTCCTGACAGATCCATCTGGGGCTCACAACTCCTCAGGACTCCTCATTATTGTGGGTGGGAGTGGCTCTCTAAATTGCCCCAGAAACCTGAAGGGCATATCAACCACAGACAGCTGGGTCCCACCCTCTCAATCTCTGACTTAGCAGATCTGGGGTGAGCCCGAGAATCTGCATGCCTCCCAAGTTCCCTGGTGATGGGCCAGTGACCCCACTTTGAGAACCACGGGTCTGGGAGTAAGGTGTGCAGAATCTGATCACCTTGCAGCACTCCACTGCTGCCACCCCTGCCCCATGCAGAACCCCCTTGGGCTGGACTGTTGCCTCTGCCTCTTCACAGGCCTCCCTCATTCCGCCCTTCCCCCTACTGTTTATTCTTAACATGATTCTTTTAAGACAGAAGTCAGCTCATGTTTTTAAAAGATCATCATCTTCATCACCACCACCACCATCACCATCACTGCCTTAGTCTTAGCCTTGCCCACCTGTCTAGCAGTCTTGTTCTCTTTTCCCTCTTTTAGGAGTAATAAACTTGTCCTTAAAAAAAAATCACACTATACAATGAGAAATGCAATTTTCAAGCCATCCAGAGACTTGGGTCTTCCAACCAGGACATCTTTTCTCTGTAGTGAAATTACCTGAGATGTCAGCTTGTGAACTGTCAACTGGCTGGTTCACCCCTGTCCACCAGAGGGACAGA